CCTTTGTTATTCGATTTATTTGTCAACGATATAGGTAACTATATCAAAACTTCACGATTTCTTCTTTATGCTGACGATCTCAAACTCTACCACAGTGTGAGCGAACTAACGGATTGTATAGACCTGCAAAAGGATTTGGATGGTGTCGTGGAGTTCTGTTACATAAACGACCTACAATTGAATGAGGGCAAATGCAAAATGATGACGTTTACAAGAAAAAAAATGGTGATTCAAGGAAATTATTCTATTAATAACACTGTACTGGAGAGACTTGATTATATCAAAGATTTAGGGGTTATTTTCAATGGTGCTTTCAATTTCATAATGCACATTGAATATATAGTGAAAGATGCCTACCGGAAACTCAACTTTGTTCTTAGAAATACTAACAAGTTCAAATGGAATACTTTATCAGTCCTGTACAATGCATATGTTAGATCTAAATTAGAGTATGCCTCAACTATTTGGAATCCCACTACAGCTACTCACTCTGAGATGATAGAGAAAGTTCAGAAGAAATTTTTGAGATGTTTATTCTTTAGGAAAAATGGCATTTCTTCATTCATGGTTTCCTATAATACCCAAAGACTGCAACTGAATGTTGATTCATTGTCTCATCGAAGATTTTTAAATGATGTGGTATTTGTAATAAATGTTCTTAGTGGACATTTAAATGTACCTGAATTACTCTCTATAATACCTATAAGTGTTCCAAATATTAGTCTTAGAAGAAGAAACATTTTATTTAAAGTTAGCAATTCTAGTACTTCTCTAAACAGGTGTCTGATGAATGTTAACTCTTTTAATGTGAATAATGATGTTGATATTTTTAATATGAATTCTTGTGATATTTTTAGATTTTGATGCATATATATATATATTGATAATCATTTTTTTGCTGTTGTTAAGATGTTTTTTTGTATCGTATTTTTGTGCATTTGCATACTGTTTACTATATATTATTATTCTACAACTGTGAACATGTAAAAGGGCTTTGCCTGTTTGTTTTGCAGTATAAATAAATAAATATAATAATATAATATAAATGGATGTGACAAAATATGTTTTTTTGATAGGGGTGAACTTGGAGGGTGAAGTAAGGGTGAAATATATTTGACAAAATCATTCAACATTTTGAATCCATTATTATGACTGCTATATGTCCTTCATTCCCAGAATTATTACCTGGGTTGATAATTACTATTATATATATAATATATATAATTTTGCCCCTGCAGACCATCTTGATGGTATCACACTAACTATTATATGACATTGAATCCAAAATCGAGTCTAAAGAAGACATATGGCTGTACTTGTCCCTGAACATGTATAGAGAGAAATAAAAATCTTATACAGGGTGTAACTGAATAAGTGTAAAACATTTAAGGAGGTGATTCCTCATCGAAAAAAAGATAGGATCTTTCATATAAAGAAACTTCATTGGAGCATCCCTTGTTAAGATACAGCCCCTTAAAGGGGGTACATAAAATTTGTATAACAATTTTTTTCACAAGCACTGAAAAAGTTACAATATTGAAATTAACCTGACAGCGTCATACCAATTTAATTGTCACTATCGCTAATAGCGACCTACTAGATAGATTAGTTTCGTATTTTCGCATTTATGACGATGTATCTCTGTAGTTGTTCGTAAAATAATGTTTTGCTGCTTACTGGTTTATTTTGGGCAAAAAACCCAAGAGACATTTTTTGTTTAGAATGAAACAGGCTATCGGAAATAAATTTTTAAATGGTAAACAAATAATAAGACAAAAAGTTACATTGGAAATAAATTTTAGGGGTTGCGTTTTTTTTCACCCCTTACAACCATGGGGTAAACCAAATAAATTACTGGCTAAGTGTCTTTTTGGTAGTACAAAACGTCAGGTTAATTTCAATATTGTAACTTTTTCAGTGTTTGTGAAAAAAATTGTTATACAAATTTTATGTACCCCCCTTTAAGGGGCTGTATCTTAACAAGGGATGCTCCAATGAAGTTTCTTTATATGAAAGATCCTATCTTTTTTTCGATGAGGAATCATCTCCTTAAATGTTTTACACTTATTCAGTTACACCCTGTATATACATTTTTTTTGTGGTTATATGTACTCTACTATAGGTCGCGTGCACGAAGACCGACCCTGGAGGCAAAATAATTGGAACACAACCTCATTCTTCTGTGCATTATTGAAACACAACCTCACTTTTTTGTTTGGTTACAGAGGAATCAAAAGGTTGAAATAGTTTTTCACAATATTTTGGCATACGAATCGTGTTTCTTGCGTTATTCATTAATTCAAGCATGCCTTCGCATTGTGCTGTTGTACAATGCACAAAAAAAGCAGCAAGAGACTAGGGAATATGATTTTTCAGGTAAATAGTAATCTCACATAGTTAGCATTATGAAATGTTGTCATTCCTCATTAAAACTCCTTCTGCCTTCTGCTACTTCTGCAATACAAGCTAATGCTGCTAATAGATTGAAAATGTCTACAACACACACGATCGTCAGCATGTCAGACCAGTCCTACCGATTGATTGCATGAATCCAATCTTCTTGCATTATTCTAGAAATTTCAGGTATATTTCTATTAGCTGATCCTATTGCAGAAGGAATTCCGATGAGAAATCAGAGAAATAACCAAATTTCAAAAATGAAAACTATGTGAGTGACTATAGTAGGTACTTACTTTTGAATCATAATGTACCATCCGGATTTCTTCATCTTCCGCTGCAGTTTTTGTGCATTTATAACAGCACAATGTGATGGCATTAGCGAATTGATGAATAGCGGAAAAATACGATTCATATGCCAAAATTATTGTGGAAAACTATTTCGATCACTTGTAAACAAATATGTTTTGCCTCCAGGGTCAGTCATCTGACAGTTCTTGCACGCGACCTATAGTCCATTCCAACTAAGAAGACTACATTGGAAAACAGGAGCAAGCCTTGCCCTCAGCTTAGATAGGTTAATATAGGAGGAAATATTACAACTACCTTATACCTACTATAATTCATAAAGTGACATATAGGTTGAAGTTTTCCTTATCGGTCGCATGCACGATGACCGACCCTGGAGGCAAAATATTGAAACACAACCCCACTCTTCTGTGAATTATTGAAACACAACCTCGCTTTTCTATATGTTTACAGAGGAATCAAACAGTTGAAATAGTTTTTCACAATATTTTGGCATAGGAATCGTGTTTCTTGCATTATTCATTAATTCAAGCATGCCTTTGCATTGTGCTGTTGTACAGTGCACAAAAAATGCAGCAAGAGACTAGGGAATATGATTTTTCAGGTAAATAGTAATCTCACATAGTTATCATTCTGAAATGTTGTCATTCCTTATTAAAATTCCTTCTGCCTTCAGCCACTTCTGCAATACAAGCTAATACTGCTAATAGATTGAGAATGTCTTCAACACACAAGATCATCAGCATGTTCGACCAGTCCTCCTGATTGATTGCATGAATCCAATCTTCTTGCATTATTCTAGAAATTTCAGGTATATTTCTATTAGCTCCTATTGCAGAAGGAATTCCGATGAGAAATCAGAGAAATAACCAAATTTCAAAAATGAAAACTATATGTGAGTGACTATAGTAGGTACTTACTTTTAAATCATAATGTACCATCCAGATTCCTTCATCTTCCCCTGCAGTTTTTGGGCATTTTACAACAGCACAATGTGATGGCATGAGCAAATTGATGAATAGGGGAAAAATAGGATTCATATGCCAAAATAATTGTGGAAAACTATTTCCATCACTTGTAAACAAATAAGAAAAGCAACCCATGAGAAGATGATCACATCACATTTCAATTATTTGTAGTATTTTTTTCCATCACTTGTAAACAAATAAGAAAAGTGAGGTTGTGTTTCAATGTTTTGCCTCCAGTGTAGGTCATCTGACAGTTCTTGCATGGAACCCATGAGAAGATGATCACATCACATTTCAATTATTTGTAGTATTTTTTTCATCAAACTCAAAGTGGACATTGAATTAGGCAGCATAAATATTAGTTTGTCAATGTAAAAATTTCTTTTTGGTCAGTAACACCTACTACTTTCTTATTTGGAATGTACTTGAATGTACTATAGACACTTCTGGTACAAACATATAATCTGAATTCAACTGACAGTACTGAATCTGCTGATTTTTCATTCTGCAATAAAAAAACACTGAAAGTGACATATTAATCATTCCAGAATCACGTCATTTGACAGGTTGCTGAGGGGCAAACATTGTATTTTGTCAAGATTTGTCATATAAAACCAGAATAAGTGGGATCGTTTTCCTTGGAATCCCAGTTGGAACCAGAAAGAATTCCATAATTTTGTTTGGTGAAACTGTTATTATATTGTGGATATGGCAGGGATGGCCAGGGCTATGCTCATCAAAGGTAACCTAACAGATAGTTTGTGTGCCCTCAAGAAACCATGTCAAAATCACATGTTCTAAAATGATCAATACTTGTGAGCAGACATACTATTCATTCCAAATATTTTGGCTCAACATTCTGTTGAAATTGCTGACTATCAAAAGCATGATGGATCAAATGGTAGTGTGGCTTCTGTGAACTGTCATTATTTTAGTGGGAGAAGGTATTTCACATTTATTCATGTTGTTCTTTGAACATTGAGCCTTGTCTCATCAATAATAAATTAATAATAATCAGAAAATGCCTGTTATGGAAATAATTGATGCTGAGAATGATATTCAAATTTCACCAGCTGATCAACAGCTGCTGCTGATTACTGATGAAAACCATGAAAACATGTTCTAAATTTGACAGAGTTTCAGCATAGTCAGTGGATTTACCTCCGGATTTACTGACAGTACTGACCAGTTGAATTGGGAATATAGCATGAAGCTTCAATTCTGAATTTAACACAGACCACCTGTCACAAGCTACTCCCTCTGCTACTCCATATGAGGCTATAATTATAAATACCTACTGAATAATGATCCTCATAATAAACTCACCTTGTCCCAGCACAGTCCTCACTGATTGGCTTCTTTGTTTCCATCTCATGAGATACATTCTTGGAACTAATGATAGTAACAGTTTTTTTAGTATGTTTATGACCACAAAATATTTGGTGACCTACATTATATCTAATGCATCCCGCAAAATAAGATGATGGTATACATTGAAGTGTATAATTCAGACTTTTCGATAAAATGTTCAACATACCTATCATCTTCTGTTTGTTCTGTTTCTTCCTTGACTGATTTTGCAGGTAATGGGTTGAAAAACGATCTAAAATCAAATGTATCAATGAACAGTCAGTGTTGAAGAGTCGACATACTTTATGCTCTTTTGAAACATTCTCTTCAAATTCAAAATTCAAATTCAATAGTCGTTAATTCATTTTCGAGTAAACAAAATCAAAATAGGTAGACTGAAAAGTGTGAGGTTATGATGTTGTTGTTGTCGTCAATTTGGCGCCATGACGAAGCCGTGTGAAGCTCGCTGTCTGGCAGCTGCTAGGATTTCCATCTGCCAGCATTTCCAGCATACCCGAAGACCAGTGGCGTCACGTTTTTTTAATAAAACTCATATCTGGCTGCCTGGCAGCAGGATTTCCGTCTGCCAGGATTTCCGAAGTTACCCAAAGACCTGTGTCAAGTTTTTTTAATAAAAATTGTATTATGATGATTGAAAATTTTGAATGAATGTCTCATTTCCACAAAAAGGCTGATAATAGCATAGAATGATCATAGGTATTGGAATCTTTATTGTTTTCCACAATGGAAAGCAATAGGCAAATAATAAAAATATGATAATTGACTGACTGAACAATAATAAATTAACATTTTGTTACACTTTTTATCAGAAAAGCTAACAGGTTTTAAGGTCTTTCTGAAATCGTTATATTTTATCAAACTTGTGAAATTAATAGAAAAACCAATTCTTTGTGGTGAACCAATTTCTTGCTGATGGGGTTGAGATCACATTTCACTCTTGAAAGGGATATTATATATATTATATTTGAAAAAATCAAACCTCGTACTTCCCAATCGACTGGTCAGGATGCAATGTGAAAAAAACAGTTCTTTGTGACATATTCTATCATATTTATACGGAATAATTTCTTGCTAATGGGGATGAGTTGACGTTTCACCCCTAAAACGAATAATATTTGAAAAAATCAAATCTAGTCCTTCGCATTCGACTGTCAGGATGAGATATGAAAAAATGGCAAGGTGATCGACCGTTGGGGGCGCTGTTTCAAAACAAGATGGCGGCAAAGAGTGTGTAGTTTGTTTACAAAATTTCTTGAGATTTGCATACATTTTCTTCTTGATATTTCATTATGTTATTTGTGTTTTCTGTTGAACTTTTTACTGAAATCATAATATTTTTTGTTGGATGATACTGTTTCATCGTGATGTGAGGAAAATAACTGTTACCTACTGACTGAATCGTGGACCAAATAGTCTGAGCTTTCTTCAAACCAGTGCATTTCTGTGGGACAGCTTTATGGGATATCAAAAATCACAAGCATATCCACTGTCATCAGAAGCTGATATATTCACCATCATACCTCTATAACTCCACTCTTCAAGCAAAAGGATCCTACAGACCACAAATGGTGATACCAGGAGTGAAGTTTTTCAACAGTGAACAGCCTTCTGTGAACATATTGAAAACCATCCCTAAACAATGTGTTAACCTATTGGACTATTTTGTGCTAAATATTATAGCCATCAGAATCATGTGCAATTATATATAATAGAAATCAGCAGCAACCAGCTCTAATGAGTCTAAACCAAGAAATAATTCAACACCAAAGGCATCCTGACATTACTGTGTGACACAGCTGTGGATTTAATAGTTGATACAACTATCAATGGCCTATCTTCAACATTATTACTTCCAGGCTTTGAGGATTGTTTACAGTGCAACTCCCATACCTCATATTATGGTGCTCCACTGCAATAACAGCAAATTGTCATGATCCTGTGTGCCATGTGTGTGAATTGTATCCATATAACACACTTTTCAGAATGTGAATATTCCTAATATACTTAGAGTTGAGGTAGGTGGCATCCTAGACTGAATTTTCTTCTTGGAATTCATTTGATATCTTGTATAGCTAGTTTTTTTTTACTATATTGATGAAATCATTGAATAATTTGGAAGTTCACCACATAAAACATTGATCAAATGACCTAGGATTTCAGTTGATGTATTTACACAGTATATTATCATATATTTTGTGATTTGATATAATTTTCTAATCCTAAATTCATCTAATTGAAAATATCTATCTTATCAATCTGTATATAGTTCATTATGTTTTGTATATTTTGGAACTGAATTAATAATAATTTTCGAAAATGAAAGTACATTGTCATAACATGTGTTTTACTGTACTTATGCCACTTGAAAGAAGTACCTACAAATAGAAGGATCTTCCAGTATACTCCTTCCCTTAGTGCTCATGTATACTGTTTTTCCCTGAATTATTTTTCAAGATACCTTCATAAAAATTTACAATTAAAAAGGAATTTGAAATCCAGGACTTTCATATATGTAGAAATAAATTAACAATGAGCAAAAGCTGGCAAAAGTAAGTATCTACCTATTTTAAAAGGAATCAGTAAAGATTATAAAGTGAAACTTTGAAAACCTACAATAAAACATTACAAAAAGAAAAAAAGTAGAACTTTTACTTATGAATAAATACAGTTCAATAATAACATACAAGCAGTAAAATTATGAATACATTATTCCAAGATACAATTTGAAATGTCATGGATATGTTCAAGTACCCAAATAATCAGTGATATCTCCTTAAAAACTTGAATTCAACTTCAAGGAATCTGGGTTTTGGTTTCAATTTGTGTAACTATTTGCACTCAATTGCAAGATACCCTGGATGGCAACTCCTCCCCTGCTGAAAAATTGAAGAAATGTTAGTACCTACTATAAACAAACCATATCTATTAGCTATTACACAATCTAAATATTCAAATAGAAATAGATTGTGTCACTTCAATGTATGTTCAAAGATTCAATTCAAGCTATAAAGTAAGCTACCTACAATGACCTGCTTGTACCAGGGTTATTATATATCTATAAAATATGCTACTGTTTTTGCTCATATGAATGTAATTGGGAGCTGTATTTTAACTTAATCATTTTGGAAGTACATGCAATTTGCATTGGCAATTTTACTATACAAAGATGATACTACAAAATAAGAATCTATGGAGGCCTAGGCAGGATGTCATGAACAAGATTTTTATATGAGTCAAGCATTACAAATAAAACCATAAATTACCCACCTGCACATGTTCATGATGTCTATTTTCTTGTCCAGCTTTGTGTATTGCAGTTCAAAAGTCAAAGGCATTGAATTTGCTTCTTTATTTTTCTTATGAAAATATTTGAAAGAAAAACAACCATACTTATTTTTCAATTCTTGGAGACATTTCCCCATAAACAAAATAGGTATGAACTGTTGATAATTTCAATCATGTTCTCTCTCAGATAGGCAGGCACTGCAAATAAGAGTTATTCATCAGTAATAAATATATCAATGAATCACAAATTTACCTTATTGTTATCATTATTGAACCAATGAAGTGAAGAAAGGTAGGAAGTTTTTGTTGGAGCTGCATACATCCACTTTTCAAACTCATTTGGATTTTCAACGTTTATCCATTTTTTCCATTCAACTGAGCTGATTTTTCCTTATCAGAAAAGACTTCTTGAGTGCAGGAAATTCATATTAGAGGACATTATAGGTCCTACATTTTTCCATTGGAACCTTCTACTAGTTCAACCAGCAACCAAACAGTTGATTTTGCGTATTATCAGAGATTTGTTGATACTAATTTATAAAATAATATAGAAGTGATTAGGCAATTGATATAAAGTTCATGTCTTGTACTCAAGAGAAGCAAGAAGAGAAAATTAACGTAATTTGTTGAATGGTATTCATAAAATATGAAACCCACTGAACACAATAACAAACATGACCTTGAATTACGTCCTAAACTGGTTCAAATTTGCCCACCAGGTGCCGTATCGGAATCGTCACCTTGCCAATACGAGATAATTTCTTGCTAATGGGGATGAGTTGACGTTTCACCCCTTAAACGGATAATATTTGAAAAAATCAAATCTAGTTCTTCGCATTCGACTGTCAGGATGAATTAGGAAAAAAAACACTCTTTGTGACATATTCGATCATATATACGAAACAATTTCTTGCTAATGGGGATGAGTTGACGTTTCACCCCTTAAACGGATAATAGGTCGCGTGCAAGAACTGTCAGATGACCGACCCTGGAGGCAAAACATATTTGTTTACAAGTGATCGAAATAGTTTTCCACAATTATTTTGGCATATGAATCGTATTTTTCCGCTATTCATCAATTCGCTAATGCCATCACATTGTGCTGTTGTAAAATGCACAAAAACTGCAGCAAAAGATGAAGAAATCCGGATGGTACATTATGATTCAAAAGTAAGTACCTACTATAGTCACTCACATAGTTTTCTTTTCTGAAATTTGGTTATTTCTCTGATTTCTCATCGGAATTGCTTCTGCAATAGGATCAGCTAATAGAAATATACCTGAAATTTCTAGAATAATGCAAGAAGATTGGATTCATGCAATCAATCGGTAGGACTGGTCTGACATGCTGACGATCGTGTGTGTTGTAGACATTTTCAATCTATTAGCAGCATTAGCTTGAATTGCAGAAGTGGCAGAAGGCAGAAGGAATTCTAATAAGGAATGACAACATTTCATAATGCTAACTATGTGAGATTACTATTTACCTGAAAAATCATATTCCCTAGTCTCTTGCTGCATTTTTTGTGCATTGTACAACAGCACAATGCGAAGGCATGCTTGAATTAATGAATAACGCAAGAAACACGATTCGTATGCCAAAATATTGTGAAAAACTATTTCAACCTTTTGATTCCTCTGTAACCAAATAAAAAAGTGAGGTTGTGTTTCAATAATTCACAGAAGAATGAGGTTGTGTTTCAATAATTCACAGAAGAATGAGGTTGTGTTTCGATATTTTGCCTCCAGGGTCGGTCTTCGTGCACGCGACCTATATTTGAAAAAAATCAAATCTAGTATTTCGCATTCGACTGTCAGGTTGAAATATGAAAAAAACAGTTCTTTGTGACATATTTGATCATATCTCCACGTGCATACGGAATAATTTCTTGCAAATGGGGATGAGTTGACGTTAGTTAGTGGAATGTAGAGTCACTGGATGGTATAATAGTTTGATAAGAGTTCGGACACAGCTGAACTTCTGTCCTTTTCTATTTTCTATAATACAATGGTTTAAGTGAATAAAAGAATAAGACATATTTTCTGCTCTTTGTCTTTTCAATTTCCCTAGTAGCGCCTGATTGTCAGATA